CGTTGTAACACTTAAAATAAATAAGGCCATTCCACACTATCAAAGGCCTTACATTTTCATATATTCATTCTTGTAGGGTGGCCTGGCATGAATCCTCCCTGATCACTTTGTAGCAGGGAAGAGACAAACTTGTTCAAATGGTTGGCAAGCACCTTCACTAAGATCTTCACATCTACATTAATCAATTAAATAGGTCTATATGAGTATCCTATAGCGTTTACATCTGTCATGGCTGCTGCCACCACCAGTCAATTCTGGCCTTATATTACAGGGTTAAAAAATTAGGCGTCACATGCAAAATTACCTAAAAAAACTTTTTTTTTTTTTTTTTCAAATTGCAATGAATCTGATTGGGGTGCTGCTGCTATATTTAGGCCAATCAATATTGTAATATGTAAACATTTATTACACATGCAAAGCATATGATGCCAGAATAAGGTGTGACAGACTCTCTTCATGAGATTCATGTTTTGTTCTATTACACCACATAGAGCTTACAGGTATCTCCCACTCCTGGCTCTGAACCTTCCTACTTTGGGTGATATGGAAGAAGACATGGAAAACATGAAAGAAGTGTCTCTTGAGTTTCCTTAGGATAAATACCCTGTGGTCAGGAAGTCAGCCAAGCCTATGGTAGAACTGTGCACATTGTGTTCCCAGGGAATGGAACAAGAAGTGCACACTTGCAGATTGTCTTTGTAATTACAATGTTGGTGTGACTGTGATGGTATCAGGCGGTGGTATTTTTAGACTTTGCTTTATTCACTTTATGTTTTACATATGGTTTTATTCTTGTGTTATTTTTGTAATTTGAACACTTGCAACACTAATTTAGGTTGAGCACAACACAATTTATTTTAGTATATTTATATTAAAAACCTTCCAACTGCCTCCATCGCTACTGAACCCTTCCAGTGTGGCATTTTATATTTAAGAAGTTCATCATCTAAATTGATCCTCTATTTCTTTTATTTTCAAGGTAAGCATTTTATTTTACCACTGTTTATCTCTCCTCCCTCCTAAACTAGTGAACCTACAGTATTATTATTCTGAACATGCAATTTCTATATCAACCTGAAACTAAGGGTACTTTTTGTACTATTTGTTTACAATAAGTATAGGATGTAAAGTGGACATACAGCTGAACAAGAGATCAGAGAATGGCTTCTCTCAAACTAGAAGTTAACTGGTAAGGGGTCTGAAGGGTGCCATTAGCAGTTCAAGTGAGTAGATCAGTCACCCACAGGAGCATTAGAGATCAGAGTGGACGATCCACTCTCCACAAATCTTGGTTTAGTCATACCAAACCTCTTATCACTAGCAAAAATCTACCTATCTAGTAATATTCAAGGCTAACCAGAGATGTGTTTCTTTGGCCTTTATTACTCATATTTACAGTTTTATGATACCATTTGAAAAATTACTCTAATCCAGGGCTTAAAATTTCAAGTCCTGAGCTACTAGCCAGGCCTTAAGAGTTACTCACCATCAGTTGCCCCACCTAACCCCTACCCTGCTACACCCCTAATTCCACCCCTAAACATGCCCTCATAAATTATTTCATGAAATTACACTGTTAAATATTACCCACATTACATCAGGGTCCCCAGAGTCCCCCCACATTACATCAGGGCCTCCAATGTCCCCCTAAACACTCTATCATACTTAGACCATGCACCGCATACAACCATAACCCCCCATAATCTTTCACTCACAAAACCATAACTTTTCCAAGCATATCCTACCTACTATCCAACCCAGCAGTACCTCAAATGCCCCATACTCTACCACCCATAATAACCACATCATCCTGAACCTGACCAAACCACCCATACATGTAGGTTTACATACAGACACAAGTACATACACACACACAAACAGAGACACCTGTACACACACACAGGCACATGTACAGACACACATACATGTACATACACACAGACACATGTACATACACATACACACAGAAACATGTACACACACGCACAGAGACACATGTACACACACACACACACATACAGACAAATGTATACACACACAGGCACATGTACAGACACACATACATGTACATACACACAGACACATGTACATACACAGAAATACACACACACAGACACATGTACATACACACAGACACATATAAGTACATACACAAACTGTCAGGAATGGACTGGCCAGCAATAGTGGGACTCATCTGCCTTATGAGCTGCAGTACCAGGGCTGGCCAGCGGGTGCTCCCAGCAATCAGAGACTCAACCTTGCAGCCAGTCAAACACCTGGAACTAATTATACTGGTGTATTTAAGGGACATTCAGACCTGCAGACTCTGGCTTGGTGTTGTGTTTTTCCTGGGCCCTGTATCTTGTTCTTGCATCCTGTTCCTGTTCCTGTCTTGTTGCTGACCCGGCTTGATTCTGACCTCTGCTGACTTCTCCTGTTCTGATCCTTGGCTTGTGACCCCGACCATTCTCTGCCTGACCCTCTGTACCTACCTGCCTGTTAGTTGCTGTACCCTGCTTGTGACCTGACTATTCTCCGCTTGCTCCCCCTGTACCTACCTACCCGATTGATATTGACCCAGCCTGCTTGACGACGCTTGCACTGTATGTACTGTTATCTGTGGGTGGTTGGTTTGGTTCGTTTGCACTGTGTTATGTTTTAGTATTGCACTGCGTTTATGTTTGTATTGTTAGTGTTAATAAATTGTTTATAACTTATCTGAAGTCTGCATTTCCCTGCGTCAGTCACACAGCTCTGTCACATTGACATTACACCAAGGCCAATCCTGACCAGAAGTGGCTGCACAGGGAAGCCATCTTGGTTTGTTGATGGGAAGGATGAATCTGGATGAGGTTGCGTATTTATATCTGCTAGTGTTTGATGACAGGGAGTATGCTTATCAAACTCTGAAGGAGTATACCCGGGATGAACTGCTAGAATGTATACGGCTCGCTCATGTTCTAGTAGATCAGGGCACAGAGTTCTCTGAGGTGCAGTCATTGATTGAGGTTTGTGCTGAGTTGGTTTCATCTGGTACCCCCCGAATGCAGGGATGAATTTTTGCCACCATTTAGTGCAGACCAGGTAGAGTCCCTGGTATGGTTATTAGAGGATGATGTGGGTTACTTTCTGGAGCGTTATTCCACATGTTCACCACAGATACTAAGAGATTGTATAAACGCAGTGCAGTCTTTGGTCAGACAGGCTTTGTGTAAGCTCAGCTTTGTTCAACCCATACTGCAGACATGGACAGATTTGTTACACCCAGCCTCAGTCAGCTTACAAAGACCCAGTCCTGCTTCTAATCTATCTCCTCAAAGCTCTACTCCTGTATTCCCAACAGCTCCTCCAGTTACAGCCCAGTATACTTGGCTATCTACCGCATGTCAGTACCCTGTTCCCACTCGCTGCACCTATCCTGCCTTTAACCCTGTAAAGAAGCCCTCTGTAGCGACTGTTCCTTCCCCTGTTCCATCCTCCAGCTCTTCTCTGTCTCCAGCTGCTCCATTAATTTGCAGACCTGCGTTTACTTGCAGTGCCCCAGTAGTTAAAACCAGAAAAAAGCGAAAATTCTTTCCAACCAATACCATCCTGCCAGTATCCAAACCGGTGAGCCTACCGTCTGAGAACCTGCCTTCCGTGGTTCAGCCTGATGGATGCCTCTCTTCAGCCTGATGCCTCTACTCAGCCTGATGCCTCTACTCAGCCTGATGCCTGTACTCAGCCTGAAGCCTCTACTCAGCCTGAAGCCTCTACTCAGCCTGAAGCCTCTACTCAGCCGGATGCCTCTACTCAGCCGGATGCCTCTCTTCAGCCTGATGCCTCTCTTCAGCCTGATGCCTCCACTCAGCCTGATGCCTCCACTCAGCCTGATGCCTCCACTCAGCCTGATGCCTCTACTCAGCCTGAAGCCTCTACTCAGCCTGAAGCCTCTACTCAGCCTGATGCCTCTACTCAGCATAATGAACTGACCCAGCCTGATGATCCTATTAGGCCAGTTGACTCGATGCCCGCTGTTGATCCAGATGATCCGGTACCTGATCCGGTGCCCGCTGTCGTGCCAATTGACTCAGAGCCCGCTGTCGTACCTGGTGACTCGGTGCCCACTGCCTTGCCAGATGACGCGGTGCCCGCTGGCGAGCCAAATGACCTGATGCCTGGTGACCCAGTGCCCGCTGTCATACCTGGTGACCCGATGCCCGCTGTCGAGCCAGACGATCCAATGCCAGATGACTCGGTGCCCGCAGTTTTGCCAGACGACTCGGTGCCCGCAGTCTTTCCAGACGACTTGCAGTCTTGCCAGACGACTCGGTGCCCTCAGTCTTGCCAGACGACTCGGTGCCCCGCAGTCTTGCCAGACGACTCGGTGCCCGCAGTCTTTCCAGACGACTCGGTGCCCGCAGTCTTGCCAGACGACTCGGTGCCCTCAGTCTTGCCAGACGACTCGGTGCCCGCAGTCTTGCCAGACGACTCGGTGCCCGCAGTCTTGCCAGACGACTCGGTGTCTTGCCAGACGACTCGGTGCCCGCTGTTGCCAGCAGTCTTGCCAGACGACTCGGTGCCCGCTGTTCCGCCAGTTGACTCGATGCCCGCTGTTCCGCCAGACTCGGTGCCCGCAGTCTTGCCAGACGACTCGGTGCCCCCGCAGACCTTGCCCGCCAGACGACTCGGTGCCCGCCCGCAGTGACTCGATGCCCGCTGTTCCGCCAGTAGACTCGATGCCCCGCAGTTCCGCCAGTAGACTCGATGCCCGCTTGCCACTCGATGACTGTTCCGCCAGTTGACTCGGTGCCCGCAGTCTTGCCAGACGACTCGGTGCCCGCAGTCTTGCCAGATGACTCGGTGCCCGCAGTCTTGCCAGACGACTCGGTGCCCGCAGTCTTGCCAGACGACTCGGTGCCCGCTGTTCCGCCAGTTGACTCGATGCCCGCTGTTCCGCCAGTTGACTCGGTGCCCGCGGTCTTGCCAGACGACTCGGTGCCCACTGTCGTGCCTGGTGACTCGGTGCCCGCCGCTCCGCCTGGGGGCCCGAGACCTGTCGCTCTACCTGGGGGTCCGGCGCCCGCCGCTCCGCCTGGGGGCCTGAGACCTGTCGCTCCGCCTGGGAGCCTGAGACCTGTCGCTCCGCCTGGGAGCCTGAGACCTGTCGCTCCGCCTGGGAGCCTGAGACCTGTCGCTCCGCCTGGGCCGCTCCGCCTGAGACCTGTCGCTCCGCCTCCGGGGAGCCTGAGACCTGTCGCTCCGCCCGGCGGCCGCTCCGCCTGGGGGCCCCGGTCCGCCCGCCGCTGCCTGTCGCCTGGGGGCCCGAGACCTGTCGCTCCGCCTGGGGGGGCCGGCGCCCGCCCCATGCCTCCGCTTGGGGGCCCGATGCCTGTCGCCCCGCCCGGGGGGCCCGATGCCTGTCGCCCCGCCTGGGGGGCCCGATGCCTGGGGGCCCGATGCCTGTCGCCCCACCTGGAGGCCCGATGCCTGTCGCCCCTCCTGGGGCCCCGCCCGCGCCCGCCGCTGTCCGCTTGGGGGCCCGATGCCTGTCGCCCCGCCTGGGGGGGGTCACCCCCTGGGGGATGCCTGTCGCCCCACCTGGGGGCCCGATGCCCTGTCACCCTGCCTGGGGGCCCGTGTGCCTGCTGCTTCACCTGTGTAATCTCCCGATGTGCCTCTGCCCGGAGTCCAGCCCGATGTGCCTCTGCCCGGAGTCCAGCCCGATGTGCCTCTGCCCGGAGTCCAGCCCAATGTGCCTCTGCCCGGAGTCCAGCCCAATGTGCCTCTGCCCGGAGTCCAGCCCGATGTGCCTCTGCCCGGAGTCCCCAGCCCGATGTGCCTCTGCCCGGTGTGCCTCTGCCCGGTGTGTGCCCCCCTGCCCGGTGGTGCCGTGTGCCGCTGCCAGTCTTTGATATCCCGCCAGTTACCAGACCCGGGCGGTGGAACTTTTTGCCCAGCTAGGACTGTTTGGAGCGTCCTGAGGCCGCTCCTTGAGGGGGGGGTACTGTCAGGAATGGACTGGCCAGCAATAGTGGGACTCATCTGCCTTATGAGCTGCAGTACCAGGGCTGGCCAGCGGGTGCTCCCAGCAATCAGAGACTCAACCTTGCAGCCAGTCAAACACCTGGAACTAATTATACTGGTGTATTTAAGGGACATTCAGACCTGCAGACTCGGCCTTTGGTGTTGTGTTTTTCCTGGGCCCTGTATCTTGTTCTTGCATCCTGCTCCTGTTCCTGTTCCTGTTCCTGTCTTGTTGCTGACCCGGCTTGATTCTGACCTCTGCTGACTTCTCCTGTTCTGATCCCTGGCTTGTGACCCTGACCATTCTCTGCCTGACCCTCTGTACCTACCTGCCTGTTAGTTGCTGTACCCTGCTCGTGACCTGACTATTCTCCGCTTGCTCCCCCTGAAGTCTGCTTATCTGAAATCTGCGTTTCCCTGCGTCAGTCACACACCTCTGGTCATACCCGGGAGCTCTGACACAAACACATGTACATACTCACAGACACTGTACATACATACACAGACACATGTACACAAAGAAACATGTACGTACATACACACATACACACACATGTACATGCACACAGACACATGTACACACACACAGACACATGTACACACACACACACATACATGTACATATATGCAGACACATGTACAGATACACACATGTACATACACACAGACACATGCACATGCATACACAGACACACACACAAATACAGATACATGTACATACACACATACAAATACACACACACATACAAACACACACACACATATAAGTACACACACACACACACACACACACACACACAGCCCTATAAAAAGTTGCAGCACTTCGTTCCCTTCATGCACAGAGGTGGGTACTGCACTCTAGGGGGAGGCAGAAAGCACAGCACACACTTCTTGCTTTGCTTTCACTTTGCTCAACTATTGAGCAGTTTGACGGCTCCCAGTGCGAGTGACAGATCCGGCCTGAGTTCCGAGCCTGCTCAGCAAGACGGTCCTGGGGACACACTCGTCCCCGCTATAATTTCCACTCACCAATGCGAGCTGGCAAGTGCAAATTTCAAGGCCTGCTCTAACCCATAGACAGAAAGTAAAGGCAATTTTGAAATAATACAGCTGTTACTAAAAGTAAAGTATGTGGAAATCTCTCACAGGGGACACAAACAAAAAAAAAAACAACCTAATACAGCCCTTATCCTGATAAAGAAAAATTAGCTGAAGGTCTACTTTAGATCTGAAAATACACAGCAAATGTAAAGCATTTATCATTCAAAAACATTGGGGGGAGGGGGTGTTACTAAAACTGGTGCACACCGAATCTTGTGCAGCTGCGCCTAGTGACTTACCTTCTAAATTCAGTTTGTTCAATTAAGCTTTGACAATAAAACTGAGAAGCTGTTTGGTTACTATGCACAGCTGCACCAGATTCTGTGTGCTCCTTTTGTAGTAAATCTAGCCCCACTAAAGGTATTGCATAAGAATGTATTATTAATATTTAATAAACTGACTAAGGATGTATGTTCTATAAATTCTAATAATAATCAGAAAAATGCCTTTACAAAGTTATTCCTATTTTTGTTCCCTAGCCTAACATAATGTCAAATGCCAATTTCAAGTTATAATACAAGCACATACTTTGAATATAATTTTTAATTAAATGTCCAACTACTAAACACTTGCTAGTATTAAAGTTAAGTTCAAGTCTCCTTACAAGTGTCTGTTTGACTGATTATCTTGTTTCTATGAAAAAAGAAGTGATTTGAGCACATATATAATCACTGTAGATAGAATCACTCCAAAGTTTATTTCTTAAGAAAGAAAATTACATTTTTCCTAGGTAGTAAAATTCTTAATAAAACAATAAGATCTCATAAGACTAAACCCCTCTATGTCTCTACATTATGATACTATTTAAAGTATTATCATACTAGAACGAAAACTAGTTGTATATTAGTTCGCCAGTGGTCAAGGGGTTAGAACTGCTTTGCAGAACTGGAATTTTATAACTTGTGTTATTATTAAGCATGCTCTCTACACTGAGTTTAAATGTTCTCCCTTTGCATCCTTATTTTTTTCTCGCACTATACAAAAAAAAAACAAAACACTGATTATTTTTGTAAACATTTAAGGTATAAGCCATTACAATAGGTTTGATTTAAATGTCATATTGACGTTCCATAGAAGATGAACAATTTTTCAAGTCCCATTTATCAAAGTGACTCAAAAGCAAAAGACACTATGTCTAACAAATAAATACCCTGTCCAAATGACCCCCAATGATGTCCCACAGTGACCCACTAGCCATAATACAATTCCATTTCCAGAGCAACGATGCAAGTGTTGAAAAATAGTCTGATCACATGTTAAAAAAGCAGTCATGCTACAGTATCTTTGGCTGTTATATCACCTTAATGAAGGGACTGGCATGTCACTAAAACATTATGTTGGCCTTGTATGGAACTTCAGCAATGCATTTAACTGGAATCTGGTGTGCTTGTGTTTTTTCTTAACTGATTATGTACAGTACGATACCGTCAAGCCCTTCAAACTTTAGGTGATCAAGGTGATTATGGGCAGCACAGTGGCTAAATGGTTAGCACTTCCGCCTGGCAGTACTAGGGTCGCTGGTTCAAATCCCAACCACGGCACCACTTGCCTGGAGTTTGCATGTTCTCCTTGTGCCTGCGTGGGTTTTCTCCGGGTACTCCGGTTTCCTCCCACTCTCTAAAGACATGCTGGTAGGTTAATTGGCTCCTGTCTAAATTGGACCTAATATGTGTATGTATGGATGTGAGTTAGGGACCTTAAATTGTACGCTCCTTGAGGGTTAGGTACTGATGTGAATGTACAATATATATGTAAAGCGCTGTGTAAATTGACGGCGCTATATAAGTACCTGAAATAAATAAATAAATCAAGGTGTTAGTAAAGTGTGGAGGAAAGGAAAAAACACTTTATGTTTATTGGTATAGATTCTTGTACACCACAATATAATCAGATTCCTGCTGTAACTCCACCTTCACTGTACTTTTTATTTATTCTTTCTTTCTATCTCTACTTCATTTATCTCCTTCCTTTCACAGAAAAGAGGAACTATCTACTGTAAGTATACCAAATCTAATTTAGACTGGAAATAAAAAAAACATAAAACTTTGCAAATGAACATGGCTCTGTAAAACAATAAAACTTTGGAGGAGATACTCTGTACTCTTGAAATGCTGTGTTATTACGCCTGCTGACAGAAGTTATCATATACCTTTTGATATGATGTGGCTTCCATATCTTGTGTTTGCATTTTGTACTATTTGGATGCTTTTCTGGAATGTTTAAATGCTTGGACAATAATTCTAAACGTGTCTAATAAAAAGATGAAAAAATGCACAAACATTATTATTAGCACACAGAAACACAATCTAACTTACAAAATTCTTATTAAATCCACAAGATTAAACTGCTTTGATTTATTAAATAAAACTAAAGGCATGTAAAACTGTAAGGGCCCTTTTGCATGGGTATCCAATCAGGGTCCATTTGGCAGTTTTTCAGACAGATTCAGAATGAACCGCAATCTATGTCTATGGACATGCTTATATCTGCCTACATCCTAGACCAATTATGTTCGCAGAAAAAAAAACAGAAAAGATTTGCATCCTTTCTGTTTTTGTATTGTTAATCTATGTCTATTCCATTTGTTTCTGTTTTGAGGCATAAAACAGAAACATATGCAACATATTTGTTTTTTATACTTTTGTCCACCTAAGACCCCTTTGACATGGGCATTCCTTCTGTCTGTTTTTTATCCATCCCTTGACAGATAAATAATAGACAGCAATTTGTTTTATGGGCAAATGGATGTAAACGGATGATCTTCCATTCACATCCGCTTTTTTCAAATAGAACAAGGATCCGTCCAGGTCCTTTAAAATGGACTGTAATAGATGTAATAGATGTAAACAAATGTAACTGGAACCCCTTCCATTTTTATATTAATTTCTGCATTGGTTGTTAGAAGATGGCACCCACCCGCATCCTAACAACCAATGTTTCATCCCTGCTCTCAACAGCAGGAATGAGTCTTTGGTTGTTAAGGAGTTGGCACCCACCAGCATCCTAACAACTATGACTCGTCCCTGCTGTTAGCAGGGAATACCCTTCTGACAGCAGAAAGTGAAAGAAAGCCAACATTTAAAATATCTTTACCAGGCTTTTTGGGTCTGGTGTGAATTTTGCGAGGATTTCATGCCAAAAATAAAACAATGTTGTGAGGTCCCCCAAAATCCTTGCCAGTCCCTTATCTAAACATGCAGCCTGGCCAGCCAGAAAATGGGGGAGACGAGTGTGCACCCCCATGAATCATACCAGGCCACATGTCCTCAACATGTTGATGAGGACAAAGGCTTCTTCCACACAACCCTGGCCTGGGGGTTGTGGGGGTTTGGGGGTGACTTATCAGAATCCACAAGTTTCCTTTAACAAAGGGGCCCCCAGATGAGTATATGAAGTCCTTTAATTAAAAAAAAAATCCCTGGATGAACATTCAACGTCAATCATGTTATCCAGTGATATAGGTCTACATCAAGCACAATGACTGTTGGCCACCAACCCACACCAAAAAAACAAAGTCGCTATCCACTGAACCCGACTTCTCCTGCCTGCTGCTTGTCAGCACCAAATGACAGCGCTAATAAAGTAAAGAAAGGGGCAGGGTCACCCTGTGATGTCAGTGGGTGTCCCCACCACCTTATGAGGTAACTGATCATGTATGGATATGTCCATATAGGGTCAATGAAGGTATAAGGGGAAAGGGTCACCCATGGCATAACCAGGTATGGTATGGATATGGGGGGATCTTATACTTTTTTAAATTTTTATATATACCATACATGTATGGCACTGTCCCTTTAAGTAAATTAAACCAGTGCTCAAAATTGCTGACTATTATC